AGCGGGGCGGGATTCCGCCTGCTGTCCCCATTGTTTGTCCCGGTTCCCAGCGACTGGGATGTCCCGGGAGAGACGCAGCCCCGGGCTCACCGCCCTCCGTGCCCCTGCCTCAGTTTCCCTGTGTGCTTTGTGGGCATCGCTCTCCATCTGACGCGGCTCGAGGATGCCCGGGGGGCGTAGGGCGGCTCCGGGCTGCCGCCGGCACTGGGCAGGCTGCTGCTGGGGTGGGGGCAGGCTGGGGGTTGTGGGTGGGTGAGTTTTGTTGGGGCTGCACCCCAAAAGCAATTTGAGATTGGGGGGGGATGAAGTCCCCAGGATCTGGACCTCCTCCTGTGCTGGGGGGCTCCCAGGTGAGTCCTGGGGTTTGGGCAGGGGGCAGGGATTGGAGTAGGGATGGAAGTGAGGATGGAGATGGGGGTCTGGCAGGTTATTAATAGCCATGGGGAGGCTTTTCCTGCAGAGAGCCCCACACTGCAGCCCAGGGACAGGAAAAAGGTGTTTCCGGCTCTGGGCTGGAGCGGGGCTGGCCCTGCAGGGGACAAGCGGGACCGAGGCCAGGTGCCCCCCGGCTCCCACCCAGCACAGTGGGGAGCAGCCCCGGCACCGGGTGGAGCGATGATCCCACCTGGAGCTGGCAGAGGCTGCCAGAATGGTGGCGTATCTTCCCGTGGGCCCAAGAGCCGGTGCTGGGACACTGAGCTGGCCCTTGTCCCTTGGTCCTTGCCACAGCCCGAGAGTCTTTGTACACTCCCAGGTTGGACACAGCCTCTCCGACTGTTCCCTGGGGCTGAGGGAGGGCCCCAAGCCTTACTCATTAACAGGTGGCCTCTAATGAGCTTTATGTGACTGAGCAAAGGCTTTGGGGGCCGCAGCACGGGTGGTGCCACGGCCGTGTGGGCACAGCCGAGTTGAACCCTGAGTTTGGGGCTGCTCGGAGAAGAAAGGCTCCGCAGGACGGCGCTCCGGCTCCCTGCCTTCCCCAGCCCCGGCTGCCGTTCCCCCATCGCCACGCCAGTTTTTGCTCGCACCGCCACGGCGGCCGCGTTCTGACCCTGCGCTGCGGCCCCGCGAGTGTTGCAGGGTTGGCTTTCGGGCTCGTGGTGTCCCGGGGCGCCGCCGCCCTTACGGAGCTGCGATCGTCTCCGTCCTCATCCTCAGCTCCTGCGGACATTGGAGGCTCGGTGCGGATGCGGCCGTTCCGCGTCACCTCCGGCAGCAAAGCGGGGCAGCGGGCGGCGGAAGCTCCCCCGGCTCGGCGCTGTGCGATGACTCCCGGCTTCTCCTCCCCTCCCAGCCCCATCTCCACCCTCCGGTTTTCCTCGCTTTGCTTTCCCCGCTCCCTCTCTGGACCCTTTCCAGAAGAGATATCTGTGCCACGGGGAGGGGAAAGGGCGGAAAGCTGGAGAACTGCCCTCCTCCGTGGGGGTGCTCGGGGGATGCTCAGACTCCTCCAGGAAAGCTGAAACTCCTCCTGGTGCGATGGACCCGCGATTGCTCTATCAGCTGCTTTCCTTTGAGCATGAAGGATTAATTTTGGATGTGAAGGTGCAGGGATGGGGCAGCGCAGGGCTGGGGGAGCTTTTTCCATTACAGCCACGTGCAGATCACTGCCCTGTGGGGATGCTAATGGAGCCCAGAGATGCTGCTCCCACCCGGCTGCGTTGCGGCGATCAGTCTGAAGCCGGGCCGGCAGTCTGGCCGCTTGCACTGCACACAGCAAACGCTGCAAACTCCTCATTAATACCGGCATAACGAGGTGTTTGCGTGGCACTCGCAGGCACTGCAGCTTTGCAGCTCGCTGGAAAATCCACTCATCCCATTAAAGACTCCTCATGGCTTTTGCTTCCAGCCGCAGACGCCCATCCCGGGGAGCCCAGAACCAGGGATGAGGAGTTCGGTGGTGGCTGAGCTCCCTTCAGAGGGACCTCGGCACACGTGGGGGTCTCGAGCAGTTTTTTTGCTGCAAGAGCTGCGCGTTCGTGGTGTGGGAGATCGCGGTGGGAGATCCTGTGCTGCGCGCCCGGCTACCGCGGCTGCTTTGGGGCCCATGCTGCCGAACCCACTGCCGTTACCGTGCAGCACTTCCCAAATCCTCAGCAGCTCTGAAGGGGCAAAAAAACACCTTTTGTCCGAGGGCCGCGCAGCGCCGGGACGAGCGATCGCAGCCGTCCCACCGCTCGCGTCCAACGCGTCGCATCCGCCCGCTTAATGCGCTCCGCACAGCTGCGTCCTCGAGCGCCGCTCCGCACGGACAGCGCCGGAACTCCCGGTTTTGGGGCCGAGAGCGGAGGGGCCGCTTCCGTCCGGCCGCGTCGTGCCGGTGAGCGCAGGGCGGAGCCACGCCGTCCGCTCGAGCTCAGGAGGCCTCCGAGCTCCCCGGCTCCTCCGGTCCCCGTCCCGCCTGCAGCGCTTGGCTTCCGGCCGCGCTCCGCCCCGTCACGGAGGAGCCCGGGACGCGCGTGGGCGGCACCGGTACCGGGGAGCTGTCCAGCAGCGGCGGCTCCTGAACGGCCGCGGGGACGCGCGGAGCTCCTCGGGTCACGACTCGCATCTCAGGCATCGAGAGCGCTGCGAACCTGGCCGGGGGCGGCATCGCGCGGAGCGGCCTCGGGGAGAGGTGGCCGACACGTGCCCGGTACCGGGCTGACCTGCAGGGCTCTCACCCGGCCCGGCTGTGGCAGAGGAGGTTCTGCCGCCGGACCCCAGGATTTGGTGCTGGAGCCAGTCCAGCTGAGCGCCGAGCTTTGCTAACAGCACGGTGTTATTAAAGTGGGCTTAGTGCCTAATGGGATTGCCGTGGAGTGGCTGAAGCAGGGATTAGTGCTGTGGCTCTGCAACCATCCGACACCCGCCTGTTCCGTCGGCCCGCAGCCCTTCACCCAGCAGCTCCACGGGCACTGAAGCTGCCCCCAAAAGCTTGCTGCTGGGTGCCCTGCTGGCATTGTGTTGCATGCATGTCTGCAGCTCTGCAGGGTTCCATGTTCTGTGTCGTGAACTCACACCGTTCAGTGCTCATTGCTCCCATCCCAGCCGCGCTTTGAGCCCCAAACCCCACTCTGTAGCACCGAGCCCTATAGCATTGCAGTGCCCAGCGGTGCAGTGTCCCATTGGTGACACCCAGCTGGGGGCAGGCCAGGTCCTGGCTGCAGCGCGGGGGCTGGAGGCTGAATCGGTGGTTTGTTCCCCTCTGAAGGCTCCTTTCTCTCCTTGCTGCCCTCTGTTTCTCTTAGGAGAGTTTCATGTCCCTTGTGTCACAAGGAGCCTTTTCTTTGTCATCCTTGCTGAGCGTGCCGGGCAGGAGGTTGCATTGCAGCAGCGCCAGCCCCAAAGGCAGCACAGGGTCGGATCCTGCATGGAGGGGCTTTGGGGGATCCGTGCCCAACCCGTCTGAGCCAGGCTGCAAATGTCGGCATGGGAGGATTCTCCTCACCCTCCTGGGAGGATTTGGGGGATTTGCGGTGATGGTGTGCAATCTGCACTGCCACTGCATCCCATCGGTTGGAGCCTGCTGAAGGCTGCCATCGCCTGTGATCCCACAGGACATCATGGGGACATCCAGAGCTGTGGGTTCACTCGGGGTGGGGAAACTGAGACACAGAGAGGTAGAGAAGCACCATCAGAGGTGGAAGTCCGTGCTTTTTTGCATCTCAGTGTGCCTGTGCTCAGAGTCCTGCTGCAGGGCTGAGCTGCGGTGCCCCCCCAAGCTCTGCCATGGGGACTCAACCCGGGGCTCAGCCTCCAGGTCCGAGTGTTCCTTTCTGCTTGCCGAAACCACAGGTGTGAGGTGAGTTTTGACTCTATTCCAAGCGAGTTGCTGCAGCCCCGAGCACAACAGATGCCTCTTTGAAAGAGACGTGCCTCCGGGGCTGCGGTTTGCATTTGTCCTGGGATGAAGGACGCGGCTCAGCCAAGGCTGCTTTGTTTCGCTTTGGTGCAGACATCCACCCTATGGACCCCCTCACCCGAACCATCGACAGCTGCCCTGTCCCTGGGTTCAGTGCTCTGTGCTTCGGGGCAATGTGGAGCTCAGAGCTCCAGACCCACAGCAGTGGGGGGAGCACCCCCAGGAACAGCACCCCGAGCCCACCCCACGTTTTGGTGCTCCGCCACCGAGCTGAGCCTGCAGAGCCAGCATCTCATTTTCATGAGGAGAAAATCGCTTCCCTTTGGAGCTGATTGCAAAGGAGCCACGGCATCGGGAGAGCCTCTATGTAGGTCAGGCTGTAACCTACGTGGCGACAGCGCGGTGATGTGGCACAGGGGGGACCCTCTGCACCCCGAGCAGCAATGCCTGCGGGCAGGAATTAAGTTGGTGGCGAGTTAATGGCTTGCTCAGAGTGGGAAAGTGCAGGATCTCCTAGGGATGACTTTAATTTGTGCTCACTAATAAAATAATGGGTGATTAGCGGTAGGCTGCTTAGAGTGGAAGGCTCTCCTGAGTCCGGCTTGGTGCTTGGTGCTCACATGGCATCCCTGGACCCACGAGCATCCCTGTCCCCATCTGAGGGTCCCACGGTGTGACATCATGGGGCAGGACCACACTTGGCTGAGCACAGGGACGGCTGCCCTGGGGGATGTGCTGTGCCCACGGGAGGGAACCCAACCTGACCGAATAGGTCGAAAAAATCCGTAGAGATGCATCACATCCCCAGTGCTGAGTGCCCTGAGAGCCGTCAGGCTGCGGCCAGGCCACGAACAGAGCGGGCTGTGTGTGCCCCAGAGCCGACCATCAGCACAAAGCTGTGCCTGTTCTCACTGCTCCAGCTCCAGGCGAAGCCTCTGTGCGGTAGAGCAGCACCTGGGTGCCCTCCCCAGCACGTCCCCATATGTCCAGCTGTGTCCCCTCTTGTCCCTGCAGATTCGTTCATTTATTTGAGTTTGGGGATTTTTTTTTTTCCTTGGAGAGCTGCAGCCTGGATGGTCTTAGAGGACTGAGAAGTGGGCTGGGGTGGTTTTGGGGCCCAGGGGATGGTGTTGGTGGCCAAGAGGGGTCCCTGCTACTTTGGGTCTCTGCCTGTGTGGAGACATGGGGACACAGGGACAGAGCTGCCCTTGTGGCTGCAAATGGGGCCCTGGAGGAGGGACATCACCGTGCCCCAGTTCAGCTCCTTCACTCTCCTCTCCCTCCGCAGTGCCTTCCTGGAGCTGCCTCACCAGGATGAATGGAACGGCCAACTTGGCCCCGACCGCCCGCGGCCACTTCACCTCCGCCATCCCGGTGCCACGATCCACGACCCCCAACAAACTGCCTTCTGCAGCCCCCCCGGCCCGGCACAGCACCTCAGGCCCCCCTGCCTCCCACCGGGCCACATCCCCACGGCCGGCAGCACCCCCCGGCCCCAAAAGCCTCAAACTCAGGCCCAGAGCTTCAGGTCGTGAGGCAACCGAGAGTCCAGGTGTAATCCCCCATGGGGGCCAGAGAGCCCCAGTGCTCCCCAGGAAGGGGGTGGGGGGAAGCCGGGTGGAGTGCAGCCTAAGGGGGCCTGGGGCCCACCGTCCCCTCGGGATGGCAGTGGAGGATGGACCCGACGCCGGCCCTATGAGCAGAAGCCCCATGTTTGGGTCAGGGACCATCAGCTTCTCCTCAGCCTCCCCGCAGAGCCGCCCTGTGACAGCCACTGTTGCCCCGTTCCACTACCGGTGAGTGATGGGGTATGTGGTGGGAGGTGTGGGGATGGGGAGGCCGGTGGGGATGGTGTGGGTTGCATCACTGGAACAGTGGGGCTGTAGGAATCGGGGCTGGGGATGCCCCAGCTGGGTGTCTGGGGGCACCCATGGGAGTGTGGCGTGGAGCAGGGGCAAAGCTGAAGGAGATGTGACACCTTGGGTACCCCCACCCCATGGGAATGGTGTTCTCAGAGTCCACAGCGAGGCTCAGGCACCACGTCCCCATTTCTGGGGGTCCCCATCTCTGGGTGTCCCTGACCAGCTGCAGCCCCCACTCACAGCCCCGCTCTGCCCCCAGGCTGCAGGAGGATGGAGAGCAGAATGCCACATCCCTGTGTGACTTTGCTCCTGCTGAGGTGCCCGACCCCAAATCCAGAGCCATGAGTAAGTGTGTGGGGTTTTCTGCATGTGCACGGGGTGTGTGGGGGGCATTCTGTGCATCCCCTGCTTGGGGGCTGCCTGTGGGCTGTGTGGGAGTGCTGCCCCGTGCCCACAGCTCATCCTGCCCCATTCCAGGGCTGTGCTGAGGTTCCCCCCCCCAAAAAAAAAAAAAAAATAGGGGTCAGCACTGCTCTGGGCAATGCTTGTGTGGGCGCTTGGCTTTGCTTGCTGCCAGCTTGGTGCTGCTGGGGGGCTGCGGGTGGGCAATGTGAGTCCCCTGGGGCCAAATGCCATCAAACAGCGACAATGGGGTGCCAGAAGACAGCGGGCAGTCCTTGGGTGAGCTGTGGCTCTCCGGGTGCCCCTCGACCCCTGGTGGGCTCTGACCAGAGCCCAGGCACTGTGAGGAGGAGGCACTGGGGGCTGCGGGAGCTGCTGGCTGTGTTGGTAGTGCCTCGTGCAGGGCCTCCCAGAGCAGCTGGAGGCAGCTGGGAGCGGGGCTGGACGCGATGCACGAGCAGCTGTGGGGCTGAGGCTGTGCAGAGCATGGGAGCATCCATCCCCAAAGCGCAGCACGTAGCGAGCAGGAGAAGGATAGGGAGGGGGAAGCAGAGTCGGGGGAGTGAGGACGGCCCTGATTTGGGGCGAGGACGATGCTGGCTGCACATGCAGGGCGATCCTGTGAGGTCAGAAAGCACAATGAGGGCACGAGGAAGGGATGGGGGACCCTTCCTGCCGCGTGGGGCTGCCGTGGGGCGGGCGCTCCTGGTGCCCGGCAGCCCAGGTTCACCCCCGCCGCCCCCCACGACGCCCGGCCGCCGCTTGGCTCCCTTTCCTCCTCTTTCTAGTTTTCCAGCAGCTCCAGGAATGACCCATTTCCGAGGAGGCGGCCGGCAGCCAGCTCACAGCCGGGCCCTGGCACCGGCAGCTCCCCGCGCCCGCAGCCCCACCGGCAGCGCTGCGCACCCGGGAGGGCGCCGAGCAGCCGCGCGTTCCTCCCGACCCTTCCGCGGGTGGCAGCGCCTTGAGAGGTGCGGGGGACGCCCCCCCCCCCCCCCCCCCCCCCCCCCCCCCCCCGTCCCTCGTTGCGTGGTCGGCTCCGCGCTCACGACGGCATTTTTCAATGAACCATTCACCAGCACTGCTCGCGCTTTGCTGGGCAAGCGGGACAGCAGGGAACCCTTTATTTTCCGGGGGGTCGCTGAACCCAGATGTGGGGTCTCCATCGCGCACCGGGTACCAGCATCAGCCCGCCGCTCTGCACTGCTTGCTTTGGGGTGGGTTTTTTGGGGGGCGGGGGTGCTGCTGCTCGCAAGGATGCTGGGGCGGCGGTTGCCAGGGCAGCGAGCGGAGGATGGCGGGTGCTCCGCGGAGGGCTGGAGCTGAGAGCGAGGCGCTGCGGGAGCGGCTGCAGCTGATGAGAGCGGACAGAAGTCGGTCAGAGCCGCTCCCGGGACTGCCGGCAGCGGGGCTCAGCCTGGGGGTCCCGGGTGTCGGCACCGAATGGGGGACGGGCGGCTCTGAAAACGGCTCGGGGAGGTTCGGGGTTGGGTTCGTAGCGCCGTACCGTCCCCCTGCCCGGACCCTCCGCGTGGGGCATCGCTTTGGGGGCAGATGGGCTTCGCTGGAGGGGTGGGGGGCAGGGGGAGGCCAATCCCAAATGACCCGAGCCCTCCCCCCCCCCCCGCCACGGGCCCTGTGCTTAAGCAGCAGCTGCATGGCTTGGTGAAGGCTCTCAAAGCGGGGAGGCTCTGGGGCGCAGCGCGGGGACCCAACAGCTCCTTTGGGTGCAGAGCACCCATTGGGGCGCGCTTTGCTTTCCCTCCCGGTGGTGTCGGGGCCGCTCAGCGTTGTGGGGCTGAACCCCAAATCTCCGGAAGGGGGGGGGGCCGGTTGGGGCCGGTTCTGGCGCTGCCCCCCGCCCTCCCTCTCCTTATCTCCGCAGCGGCGATGTGCTCTAATGCAATATTTCCCGGCGGTTGCCATGGCAGCCTGCGTGAGGTCACCAAATAGACTTAATTCACCCCTCCCGAGGGACGGATAATTAATGAAAAACGATGATAACCAGATCCCGCTGCCCCGCTTTTCGCCCCCTTCCTTCCCCCGGGCCGTGCCGGGGTTGGGGGCCGTGGCGTCGCTCGGGGGCGGCTGTAGGGCCCCTCCCGCCCCCGTCGGGGTGAACCGAGGAAGTTTCCCCCCTCCCCGGGGACGCGGGCGCTTTGCCGGCACCGCGCTGCTTTGCCACCCCTCGCAGCCCCGCAGTTCCCCGCGCGTCCCCGCGGCGCTCAGCGCTGCGCGATCCTCCCCCCACGAGCGCGCCCCCGCTCGGCCACGCCCCCCTCGGCGGGAGCGCGCCCGGCGCCCCGCCCCCTGCCCGCGCCCGAGGAGGGCGGGCCCTTTTTGTTTGCCCGTGACATTCCGCTGGTTCGCAGTGTCCCGCCGGCGGCGGAGCAGTGAGGTGGGGCCGCTCCGCTCTGCTCCCCCCGCCGCGATCCCCCGCTCCCCGCCGGTGGGGCGGGCGCTGACGCCGCTCTTTTCTCTCTCCCTCTTCCTCTCTGTCTGCTTTTTTTCCCGGCGCGCCCTCGGTGCCGCAGCAGCCCCCGGCGGGTTAAATGATTGCAGCGCGGGGATGCTGGGGAGCAACCTCAAGAGCCTTCCCGACGTGGAGCTGGGCGAGGAGGGCGCGGCGGAGCTGCGCGGCTTTCGGCGGGGCCCCGACGGCGGCGGCGCGGTGATGCCCAAACGGGCGAAGGCGGCGGCGGCGGCGGCGGGGGGGCCGCGGGGCGCGGAGCTGCGGGTGTTCAAGGCGAGCAGCGCGGAGGGGCGGCTGCCGGCCGGCTCCAACCTGCGCAAGCAGAAGTCGCTCACCAACCTGGCCTTCCTCACCGACGCCGAGAAGAAGCGGCAGCTCTACGAGCCGCGCTGGAGCGACGACATGGCCAAAGGGACGGCGACCACCGCGGTGGCGGCGGGGGGACGGGGCGGGGGCGGCGGTCCCCGTGGCCGCGAGGCGCCCGCCATGTCGCGCAGTCTGTCCCGCTCCGAGCACTCCCTGCTGCCGCCGCGCCCCGCCGGACCCCAGAAGCCGCCGCCCGCCGCCGGGAAGCCGAGCCGCATCCCCCGCGGGCCCTACGCCGAGGTGAAGCCGCTCAGCAAAGCCCCCGAGGCGGGCGGAGGCGGAGGAGGAGGGGGCGGCAAGTGCGACGACGAGCTGCTGGGCGGCAAGGGGCCGGCGGCGGCGGGGGCCGAGGAGAAGGCGTACCTGAAGGTGGACCCCGAGCTGGTGGTGACGGTGCTGGGCGACCTGGAGCAGCTGCTCTTCAGCCAGATGTTGGGTGAGTGCCGCCCCTCTCCCCGCTCGCAGCCCCCGGTCCGCCCGCGGGGTCGGTGCGGCGCGTAGGCGGAGCCGAGGGGATTCGGTTCGTGGGCGAGCGTTCCGGCGGCAGCTGTTGCGGGATGAGGAAATCCAGGAGATCCCGGGAGGCTCTGGGATCTCCCTGCTGCTTGGCCTGGGGGCGAGGCCACGTGCGAGGCCGTGCGGAGCGGGGCTGCCTCGGCCCCGTGCGGGCTGTCGGCCGCGACTCGTTTCCGAACGGGACCCGAAGGCGCAGCGGTGCTCCGTCCCGAGGGCTGCCCTCGGCACGCGGAGCTCGGTGGGAGCGCAGCAGGGGGGGCCGCTCGGGGCTCCGTGCCCCCCTCGGGGCCGCTGCGCGGTGCGTGTGAGCCGTTCTCACCCGCGGCCGCGTGCGATGCTGCGGCGAAGAGCGGCGCTGCGCGCTCGGGTCTCGTCGGTGCTTCGTGGCTGAGCGCCGTGCCCGGCCCTCGCCTTCCGCTCCCTGTGCCCAAAATGCGTGGATGTGCGCCGATCTCCAGGAAAGCAGCGCTGCGTTCCCCTGTGCCCGCAGCCCCGGGGGCTCGCAGCTCGCGAGAAGATGGCAAACGATCTCAAGGCAGCCATGGCGAGGCTGCTCGGAGCGTTTGGTGCGAGCGCGGCAGCTGGGGGCCGCGGGCTGGCACGGACCCCGCTAAGCTGCAGGGCTGTGCCTCGTGGGTCTGCAGTGTCCCGTGGCCGCTGTGCCGTGGGAAGCCACAGGGTGAGCCCAGAGTGGGGCCGAGGTGCTGTGTGTGTGAGGTTGCCTTCGCTGCTTGGGGCTTTTTGGTGGCTCTACTGCTGTGGGATCCCCGTTCCCCAGGTCCTGCTGGGTGCGTGGCAGTGTTACAGTAAGGTCTGTTCCTAATGGATGTTCATCATTGGTACCTGTGCTCCGGAGGTTTTGGTGTGCCCCTGTAATCCTGCTTTTGGGGGTTCCTCAGCGCCCTCAAGAAGAGCCCTTGCCCTTCCCTGTGGGTGCAGGACTGGCCCAGTAGGAACAAACCCCTGTGCACAAATTGCTCTACAGCTGATGGAGGTTTTGGGGTGGTTCTCCGCTGGGGCGGAGCATCCCTCCAGGCTGTGCTTCGGATGCCCTTGGCCAGGCTGGGTTGGCCCAGTGCTGCCACGTTGGGTTTGTGAACTCTCTGCTCTGTGCTTCCCGGAGTTGGTTGTTCTTTCAGCCCATGAGCATTGCTGGGCGAGGTGGGAAGCGCCAATTCCCTGCTGGCAGCTCAGTTTGTCACCGTGCTGCTGTGCTGTTCTCCTCATGTGCAGCTCTGGCTGTGTGCTTGCATTCAGGGGGAGCTGTGCTGTTGAATCGCAGCCGCTTCGTTGACTGAGCCACCAACGACCTGGCGTGTCCTTGACAGCCTGTGGAGCTCAGAGATGCTCGGGGGAGTGGGATGACAGCAGCGTGGTGGAGGCTGCTCCATCCGCCGCAGTTGGGCACGTGCTGAGCTCCTGGTGGTGACCCCTCACTGATCCGCTGCTGTGCTGGTGGGTGAACCCTCTGCAGGGATGGCAGCTCCTCTGCAGATCTCACAGTGTGAGCTGTGCCCATGGCCGTGGAGGGCGGTGGCTCATGGGTGCACTCTGCATCCCTGATCTCCGCACCTGAGCTCCCATCTCCATTCCGTGCTGCCAGGAACGCTCCCCAGCCTCTGCTGAAGAGCAGCGTCGGCCAAAGCTACGGTTTGTGTAGTGGCCAAATGTTACCTCTCTGCAAATGTCACGTTTGATGGCACCGCAGCCTTTGTAGGGCTGGCAGAGGTGGCCCCGCACTTAAAGCAGGGCAGCCTGCGTAAGCTGGGAGAGGTCACCAGAGCACAGCAACCACATGTGCTTTGTAGAGGCTATTTCTAACATCCAAATTACACGTTGCACATCAAGCGCAGGCTGAGCGTCCTCATCAAAGCTGGGCGTGCTGGTGGTTCAGGATGAAAGGCACAGAGGCAGCGTGGCCCCGTGTGCTCGCTGCAGGTCCCTGGAGCAGCCATTTCCATGGCCACCTCTTGCTGTCCACCGTGCCCCTGTAGTGGCTGCTAATGGACAGAAGTGCCGGGGTGCTCAGAGTGCCTGGGGAAGCGGTGCTCCCCGGAGTGTGCATGGCAGTGCTGTGCAGCTCTGCTCACTGTTGGCTCAAAGCCTGCACAGCTCTTCCATCCCCAGGAGTGGTTATTGCCTCTCCAAGCAGCGCGGCTGTTCGAGGCCACTCTGATGTGAACGTTATTCCTCCCTCAGTGCACCCGTGTGGCCGTGCGGAGGTTGTCAGGGTGGGAATTTATTTCCTTCTGGCAGCAGAACGGAGCTCCAGCGTTTAGAAATAGGATGGGGAGAAAGGGCTGATCCGTGCTGTTGTGTGGTAATGGTGGTGCTGAGAAATCCATGCTGCTTTTTAAGGTTTCCTGTGGAAAAGCAGCAGAACAAACATCTGAAGGCAAAACTACTCTGAGATGGGTTGGTAGAATAAATTCTTCCCCCCAGAGAGCTCAAAAATTGTTGTTTCACATGGAGCTTTCCCAGGGCCTGGCTGCGTTTTGCCCCCAGATCCAACACTCGCCCACCAAAACAATGTGGCTGAATGCAAAATGGTTCTTTCTGGGGGGGGACCAACAGCTGCCTGGCACCAGCAGGCTGCCCACCCCCAGGGCTGTGTCTGTGCTGTGCATGCAGGTTGTGACCCCCCCAGGCTGTGCTGCTGGCGCTGCGCGTTGCCAGGTGTGGGGATGCTCCTGTTGGTGGCACTTGCAGGAGCTCTGCCAGCTCTGTGCCTTTTCCAGAGTCCTGCAGCCCCAGCTCTGTGCCACTGCCCTCGAGTGCCACCAGCACTGTGTCCTCACTGCTGCCCTGCCCTGGGAGTTCCCAGCTCGGCGCTGTCCTGCACAGCTTCGCACCCCGCAGTGCCAGAGAGCGGCATCCTCCATCCCCCCCACCCCCTTTCCTGGTCCTTCCCCTGCCTTGGCTGGGGCTGCGCCCGCTGCTCAGGGAGGGGGATTGGTGCCAGGCCAGCACGGAGCTACAGCCTGTGCCCCTGGCACTGTGTCACCCCTGAGCAATGCCAGCACCCAGGGACAGCCGAAGGCACAGCCGTGGTTCTGCGGGGTCCTGGCAGGGTTCTGCAGGACTGTGAGCTCTGCTCACGTGGCTCTGTGGTGCCTGGTGACGTTTCCCATCCTCAGCCTCATTGTGCCACTGTGCGGGTGGCGCTGGGTGATGTGTGTGGCAGTGGTGTCCCCAGGATGTGCTCATGTGTGGCCTCAGATGCAGGTGCAGCTGCCTGCGTGCAGTGGGGGTGGCTCTGTCTGTCGGGGTGGTTGATCCCAGGTTTGGGTCTCGGGAGTGAGGCTCAGAGGTGTGGGAGGTGAGATGGGGCTCAGTCCTGCTGCAAAGTCACGTCCTCCCCTGGTGTGCAAACGCCCTCCTGGGAGAGCGCAGAGGTGGGAATGGGATCTGCAGCAGTCGCTCCTTTGGGGTGCTTTGGGGCAGCGGAGCTGTGGGTCTGGGGGCACAGTGCTGCTGCCAGGAGGGAGACGGGGAGCAGGGCTTCCCCAGTGCTGCTGCATTGCAGCTCCCAGCCGGGAGCGGAGCTGGGAAGGCAGGGGATGCTGCATTGCAGGGCTGAGATTAGAGCTGTGCAAATGGAGATGTCGGAGTGGCTGTGATGCTGTGAGCGGCGCCCGGCGTGCCCTCAGATCCTCTCATCCTTCCTCTCATCTCTTTCTTCCACGTTTTGTTTCGCTCAAGCGTTTCTTTCATTCCTTACGCTGCTGTTTGCCTGGTCTGATGGAGGCAGCTGCGTATTTCTTTTTAATTCAGAAATGCTGAGGCTCTTTTCTTTTTGGAAGAAGCTGTCGGAGCCTGGCGGTCTGGCCTGAGGCATCCCTGCAATCACAGTGGAGGGAATGAGCGGCTGAAGGGCTGCTCTGTCACCGTGTGTCCCCACACCGTATCTGTCCTGGCAGCAGTGTGAGCAGGTGGAGGTTGTGGTGTTGGTGGAGGGGCTGCAGGAGGTGGCTGGGAGGTCAGGTTTGGTGGCTGTGGTTCCTCGAGGGTTGGGCTGTGGGGCCACATCTGCCCCAGCCCTGTGCCACGTGCAGCCCTGTTGAGTGCTGCCCCACGGGTTGGGATCTTTGCTCGCCCCATTCCCTCCTCTGTGCTCTGTGTTGTGCCAGGTCGTGTCTCCAGCTGTGGCAGCTGGCAGCAGGACCCTGCAGTGGGGCATCTGGGTGAGCTTCTTCAACAGGGAGCTCCCGAAGTGTGCGTCCTGCCCAGCCCTGATGGGCTTTATGGGAAGCCCAGCCCAGGTAACGCTGAGCTTCCACCCGTGGGACCGCAGCATCCCTGCTGGCAGTGCTGTCCCAGCCCAATGCTGAGCAGTGTGGCTCAGCCCCAGAGCAGCACCAGGTCACGTTCAAAGCTGCAGCTCAGGTACAGCTCCGTTGCTGGCTATTTATAGGCGTGTGAGCTCTCAGCACGGCACAGGCTGAGAATAACTCCTGATCAGACTCCTCTCCATATCACACGCTTGCTGCCTGCGCATCACCGCCCTCCTGGGCGCAGCGTGTGCTGTGCTGGGCTGTGTGAGGCTGCGGGTCTGGGGGCAGAGGTGCCGGTGTGCCGGACCTGGAGGTGGCATTGGCTCCTGGTGGCAGTGATCTGTCACCATGGAGGCGCTCATGGATGGTGCAGGCGGAGCATCCTGCTGTGCACGGGGAACGTGTGGTGGGATCAGTGGCACAGGGAGGTGTGGAGATGCCCGTGTTTGGCTCAGAGCAGGGGCTGTTTGTAGCTGGGGCCTGGCGGATCGCATCGGCTCTTTTGGAATTTGCCAGAGACACTTTGGTGGCTCACCCCGTGTGATTTGAGGCCGGATGCATCACTTTCTGTAGCACTGTGGTTGATGCCAATGGCACCTGGACCCGGTGGGGTGCAGCAACGCCCCAAAATACCTACAGCATCTCT